CACCACTCGCTTTGTGTAGTAGAGGCCAGTTGTTAGGGCTAAAGTCAGGTCCCAGTGCCAGATAGTTTGTGGATTAAAGGCACAGTACGTGGTGATTCAAGGTGAGCTTGTCTTAACGAAAAAACTGTCAACACTTCATTTTACTTGCCCTTTTTTTTTTTTTTTTTTTTCCCATGGCAGTACGTTGGTTTTGTTGCGGTAAATTTGTCCATGCGTATTAATTCATTCATTTGTGGTCTTTGAAGCGTGCTGGGTTTTCTCCTAGGTGCTCTCCCTGCTTTCGCTGTACTATCTTAGAAAGGACACATTTTTCTGAGCTGTAAAGAGGATTAAGGAAAGTAAAGTCAGTGGATAACACTCAGCGAAAGGACACCTAGCACTGTGGGTCAAAGGAAACCAAAAAGCGACGCCTGGAACTTAAGCCCGAAGCATGACAGTATTTAGGTATTTAATCCCAGTGGAAACCAGAGGGAATTTGGCCCTTAAGTAGGTGCTGGGATCTGAAGTGCCTTTGAGAACGTCGGTCCCAGTGCTGCAAATTGCTGAGCATCTCCTGGTTCACTGGGAACTGATCGCTGGTTCTGTCCAGCTGTACTGGGGTTTATAAAATGAGGGAAAAGGCTAGGAAATCTGTAATACTGCAGCTCCTAGGCACGCTAGTTTAAGGAAAATCTCTGTCTTGCGAGGTGCTGTATAGGGAATAAGCCGCAATCCCAAATCCAAAGCAAGAGGCAGCTGCCGGTCACGGGCAAAGATAATGAATGGGAACACAGCAAGTGTTGGAAGGGCTCTGGGTTTTTTATAGTGCTGCTCTGGACTAAACTTGTTCTGGTCTAGTTGGAACGAGGATTAAATTTCTGAATGGAGGCTGATGGCATCCAGGTTCCTGAGTTAGGCCTGGGCAAAAATTAAAGCATCTTTTAATGTGGTAAGATCTAATTGTCACATAAATAAACAGCTGGAAGTACTTAGTACCGCTTAAAGAATTCACTAATGTTATTGTAACTCCAGATACACTGAAAAACCAGGTTGCCTCTAGACTGGAAAAAATGTGAATAATCTGAATAAAGATGGGTAGCTGTTCTCCTTAATACTAACCTCAGGGCTTATTTGATATTATTAAGGACCCAGGTAGTTTAAGGTCACTGGTTTTACTGCACAGGGAAATTAAGGAAAAGCCATATCCCAGTGGCATGCTAATAGTAGAAATCAGAAATTTAGGTAGACTTTATTTTTAAAGGGACTTGAGAGTTTCTGATGGGGAAGATGTAGGATTTGCTAGCAAGGGATTTCAGCTAGTTGAGAGTAAAATGGCCATGTAGCCAGTATGGTACCGCTGAAGGGGTTCTGGCCTTTGACATGCCTTAAACTAGTGACGTTAGTGGCTTTACTGACCAGTGTTTATGTGTATTCTGAAAAGAGACTAAGCTTTTTTTCTTTCTTCTTAATATCATAAATCTTTTGGCATCATTTTTGGTTTTGTAGTGCCTAAAGTAACAGTCAAAATATTACATTTACCAGCTGTACTCAGCTTTGCATCCTAAATCACTTGTAGAATCATAGAATCGTTAAGGTTGGAAAAGACCCTTAAGATCATTGAG